TCAAGCGATCCTACTGCCTCAGCCTCCCGACTAGCTGGGACTACAGCCATGTGCCACCATGCCCGGCTAATTTTTTCCATATATATATATTTTTAGTTGTCCAGATCATTTCTATTTTTTAGTAGAGACGGGGTCTCGCTCTTGTTCAGGCTGGTCTTGAACTTCTGACCTTGAGCGATCCGCCCGCCTCGGCCTCCCAGAGTGCTAGGATTACAGGCGTGAGCCACCGCGCCCGGCCTAAAAATTATTAGGAGTTTTAAGTGAGAAAATGACTAGAGAGGGGTCAGCACAGTTCGTAATAAATAATAAATGCTAGCGGCCTTTCCTTATTAATATTACACCAGTACGCCCGCGCCGTCTGGGCGGACTTCCTGCGCCCACTCCGGCCAGACGGTGGCGTTAGAGGGTCGTGTCGGCCCCGCAGCCCGTCGCCTAGCGCGGGCACCGCCCCAGCCCCTTCCGCGATGGAAATTAGCAGCGGGGGTGCTCTTGTCCGCTGTGACTCGCCGGCGCCACCACGCAGAGGCGGCAGCGTAGTTCAGTCCGCCGCGCCCCTGGGATTCAAATGGCAGGATCAGGGGCTCTCAGCCTGACGGGCCTTCGGAACTGAGGGGGGCCTCCTTAGATCCCCACAGACACACTTGTCCCCACTTTACAGGTGGGGACACCAAGCCCCAGCGGGTGCGCGCCCACCAGAGAGGAGCCCTCTGACTCCCGGCATCCACTCGTGGGTTCCTGACCCCTCAGAGTCCCGCTGGGGGTTGGGAGTGGAGTTCGCCTTCCGCCTGCACTCCCCGCCTCATGGCCGGCGAGTGGCTCCCAAAGTTCTTGTGGCGCATCTGTGGGACCGCTGCTTGTGCAAGGAGGGGATAAGGACCCAGCTGGAGCTCCCGCAGGGAGCAGAAGAGCCCAATGGCCCCACCCCGACCAGCCTTTGGGGGCTCCCAGAAAGTGTCTCGACATCCAGGCCCTTGCACCTCGCCCAGGCATTGGCGAGAAGGTGCAGAGGGGAGCTGCCCTGCTGTCCTCCAATCTGGGTTCCAAGCAGACCCTCAGGCCGTCCTTAGCGCCCACTGAAAACTTGTCAGCCTCAGGAACAGGAGACTCTCCAGCTCTTTCCCTCCCTGGCTTAGTAATGTTGTCATTCTCATTGTCTCACTCCCTCATCCTTTCATTCCCCATCTAGCCTTTTCCTTATCTTGGGATTCAATACTTAGAAAACTATTTGAAAATACCCTTTAATGCTGAATTTGTTCACCTTGATGCCTGAATGGGAAGGGGAGACTCAGTCCCTTTAGATGTGATGTCTGCACCAGGCTAAGAACTTCTGTTTTCCCCATTGGAAGAAGGCTTAGATTTTAGCCCCCTCTGCCAGAGACCAGCTGTGTGGCTTAGGTGAGTCCCTCTCTGTCCACGCTCTCCCTATGAGAATAATTAAGCTTTAAATGCCTCTTCTGCTCTGATCTCCTGAGAAGCAGCAGCAACTTGGGTGAGGCTTCTTGGTACTGATGCCAGACACCTTCTCACTCCCGTGGGCATCCAGGCTGGCAGACCTCACCTCCAGGGGCTTTTCTATCCAGAATCAGGGTGGGGGTGGGCTAGGCCCTGCTGCTCCACATGCTTCTTTGTCCCCACATGCTTCAGCTTTGGTGGCATTTCAGTGGCCATGTTTTTGTTTCAGGTCCCAGAGCACCAAGGCAGGAAGGAGCTATCTTATCAGATGCTTCCAGCAGAAAGTTGGGCCTAGATCCAAAAACAACAGATGCTGGCGTGGATGCAGAGAGAAAGGAACACTATATACCGTTGGTGGGACTGCAAATTAGTACAACCTCTATAGGAAACAGTGTCGAGATACCTCAAAGAACTAAAAGTAGACCTACCATTTGATCTAGCAATCCCACTACTGGGTACTTACCCAAAGAAAAAGAAGTCATTTTATCAAAAAGACACCTGCACTGTAATGTTTATTGCAGCACAATTCACAATTGCAAAGATGTGGAATCAACCCAAGTGACCATCAGTTCATGAGTGGATTAACAAAATGTGGTACACATATACTATGGAATACTATTCAGCCACGAAGAAGGATGAATTAAGCCCTTTTGCAACAATTTGGATGGAACTGGAGACCATTATCCTAAGTGATGTATCTCAAGAATGGAAAAACAAATACCACATGTACTCACTATTAAATTGGAACTAACTGATGAGCACACATGGGCACAGAGGAAAGTAAAACTCAGTGGAAATCAAGCAGGGCGTAGGGGCCAGGAGGGGATGGGTGAAAAACTACTTAATGGGTACAATGAACACTGTGTGATGGACACACTTCTAACCCTGACTCAAGCATAACAAAATTGATACATGTAACCAAAAACATTTGTACCCCCATAATATTTTGAAATTAAATTTTTTTTTTTAAATAAAAAGAAAGTTGGGCCTAGGGAGTGTCGTGGAGACCTGAAAGGATCTGATAGACGTAACTCCATGTGCTGGACCTAGTACCCCTGAATAAATTGAGACCCAGAGATTTGAAGGGGCTTGCTCAGCGCAGAGGTCACAGAGCTGGGGCTTGGATCCAGGGCTCTTTCTCCTTCCTTTGCCCTCTGGCTACAAAGGAGAGCTGGAAATCTGGTCTGTCCTCTGCTCTTGTGGCATTGTGCGACTTGCCATCTTCAAGAAATCCATTTAAAGGCTGGGCAAATTGGATCACGCCTGTAATCCTAACACTCCAGGAGGCTGAGGCGGGAGGATATCTTGAGGTCGGGAGTTTGAGACTAGCCTGAGCAAGAGCGAGACCCTGTCTCTACTAAAAATAGAAAAATTAGCCGAGCCTGGCGGCACGTACCTGTAGTCGCAGCTACTCAGGAGGCTGAGGCAAGGGGATCGCTTAAGCCCAGGAGTTTGAGGTTGCTGTGAGCCAGGCTGATGCCACGGCACTCTAGCCCAGGCAACAGAGGAAGACTCTGTCCCCCCCCACCCCAAAAAGAAAGAAATACATTAAAGAAGTGAGATTAGCACCCACCTGCTCAGCCAGCTTTGCTGTCTGGCTTGTCTTCAGCCCTGGAAAACTCCCTTGGCCCAGCTTTTTCCTTAATCCAGCCAACTGTGGAAACAAACTCCAGCCTGCAGAGGCTGGCTGCGTGCCAAGTTCCTCCACCTGGTTATGTATGTGTGTATCAGGGCTGCAGGGTGTCCCTAGGAACCACCAGGAAGTTCATTGACTGGCAGCTTGCCAGGTGTGGCCAGAAAGGGACCTCAGCCAGGTTTCTTCACACCATCCATCCTCGGCTTCCTGCCAGGCTCAGCACTTTCTGTTCATGGTAATTCCATACAGGAGGAGACGGTAATATTCTAATCTTTGGGGACCATCAGTTGATCTATCGGTTTGTTGGGAAACCCTGAACAAAATGAGGGGCATGTTTTAAAGATACACAGATTTGGCCTGGAACTAGAAAGCTCAGAAACAGTCTCTCAGTAGCTTCTCCTCTTGTGTATCTCTAGCTGACTTTCTCACATCTGGGTATTTCCTGCTCATAACTTGGCTTGCATACAGCTTTGGTTTGCCAGGGTCCTAATTCGAATTCATGGCATCCTTATTTTTTCAGTTTCACTGGTAAATGAATTCTCTCCACATTTCTTAGCTCGAATTCCCGGCCCATGGCCAGCCTGGGGATTGGCTGCCCTAGGGTCAGGCGTCCACTCTGGTCCAATCAGCCACGTGCTGGTGGGTCACATGGTTCAAAGATTGGCCGTGTGAGCAGCACAGTCCACGGGCTTAGGGTTGGAGGTCTTTCTGGGGCTTGAGTTTCCAAGACTGAGATTCCGAGTCATGGATTGTCTCAGCCCCAACTAAGAATCGGGCATGAATCACTTTGGAGGAAGATACTACACAAAGAAAAAGTTTATTGTCATGTTAGTCAGTATCCCTGGGTGAAGTGGGGGGAACCCTGTGAGGCTGTTCACAGTGTGACAAAGACTTCCAGGACGCTGCTGCAAAGACTGGCCTGCCCACACTGCTGTCGTGGGGCCGGCCGCCCCTCACTATGGGGCTGCCATGGTTTCAGGGACCATCTGGGTTGGTCCCTCCCATATGGACCTTGTGAAATTGCTATTCAGGGAACCACGTATAGTTTGAGGCAAAACACAGAACCAAATTAGCGTTTCTAAGCCCCCTGCCTGGGACATCTCCCTGGAACATTTGGGCTTGTCACACATTCCGGGAGGGAGCAGCAGCACAGCTGCAGCCACAGCTGCCAGGAACAGGCCTGGGCTCCCGCCCTGAGTGGGGGGAGGGCAGAGGCTGCAGGGCTTCCTCTAGGGGCTCCGAGTGAGCTCACCCTCACCCCCACTGTCTGACTTCATCCGCGGCTGCTTGGCCAAGCGCCCAGGCAGCATGAGGGTCTCTCTCCCACAGCAGGCCTGGGCCACCTAGCAGAGGTGGGGGAGGGGAGCTTCAGGCCCAGCCCAACTCCCCAGAAAGCAGGGGTAGCATATTGAGCTCTGAAACACCAGAAAAGTTTAATAAAAAGTGGGAGGGGAGGGGTGGGGTGGGGCGAGAGAGGTGGTGGTGGTAGTGGTACTTTGCTATTTAAAGGTAGAAAGATACAAGGGAGTAAAGCTTTTCTCTCCGTTTGTTCTCTGGCAAGCCCACTAGGCATGCAGGATAAAGTCAGGTTTTACAGCTGAGGAATCCCAATGATCCTGTAAAATGGAGCCTTGCCTGCCGCACGTTTCCAGTGGAAGCTGCTTTATATTTATATGCTTAAAGCTGTATTTTATGTCACATTTAAATGAGGGTTTAATACTCTTAAATATCTACCAAAAGTAGATTACAATGCATGAAGATCACATAAAATGAACTTCACTTCTCAGCATCACAGATAACAAGTATTTGGAGTACATAAAGTCCAGGGATGGATATTAGAAGTAAGAAGAGGTACAAAAGAAGTTTGCTTAAAAACATCAAATTTTAAAAAATTGACTTCTCCCCCGAATCCAAACAATTGTGGTCTAGGTAACCATCGGAGTAAATGCTTCCGATGCTCATCCTTTAATACGAATGAGCTCCCGCAGAAGTGTATGTCCAAGCGTGTGTACAAGAGACGCTCACGCACCTCACACACACAAGCACATACATCCACAGGGACACACACACAGCTGGGTTTCGGTTGTTCTAGGCACTTCGTATCACATTCTTAAATCTGCCACCTTCCCATTACATTGGACAAGTTACTTCTTTGGAGGCAGCACATTTTCTTCGAAGAAGCCCTGGTTGACGACATTCCCTGCTGGGAAGTATCTGGCCACCACAAAGGAGGACCCGTCATTTGCAGATGCTTTTCCCACTCCCATCTTCTTTGTGTTCTTCCACACCATGGCCGTGAAGTGTCCTGTGGGGGAACAGGCAGAGGGACAGGGAAACAGGTGAGTCAGCAGAACCTTTGGAAAGATGTTGCAGAGGATTCTCGAACCCGTGCACCACCTTGCCAGGCTCAGGGCAGTGTGATTTTCACAGACACCAATCACAGGAAGGAGTGACAAAACACACAACTTGCGTGACTTCTAAAGCGGGCCCTTTCAATCAACCACACAGACCTTACCCACCTCACCACTTTCCGAGGGTCTCCCAGAGATCATGACAAAACCCAGTGACCCCAACAATTAGGATGCCACTCCACCTGGCACCTGCCTCCAACCCTGCCCCCAAACTGCACTCTTCAAGGTCCCTAACATCCTGCGCGCTACTCTCCAGTGGCTCCTTTTTGTCTTCATCTTCTTTGACACCTCAGGAACATTTGCTACAGTCGACTCCTCCCCTCTTTTGGTTTCCATGATGCCACCGTCTCTTGGTCTTTGTCCTGTCTCACTGACACCTCCTCCTCCTCCTCTACCTCCCTGGTAAATGCTGAAGGACCTGCATTTCCCTGGCTCCATCCTGGGCTCTCTTTTCTTTTCTCTCTGCATTCTTTAGATGATTTCATCTTTCCCTGGTTCCCAAATTTATTTCTTCAGCTCAAATCTCTGCTTTGTGTTCCAGACACAACTACTTACGGGGCATTTCCATTTGGCTGACTCACAGGCATCTCAAATCTAAGCTATCCAATCTCACTCTCGATTTTGGTCCCCCCACCCCAGATTCACCCCTCTCCCAGCCCTCCCCTTTCCACCAAGGGCACCTCTGTGCACACCACTAGGGGTGAATCTGTACTCCTCCCTCTCCCTCATTCAATCCTGAAGAATCCAACTCTAAGATACATCTCGAGTCATCCACTCCAAAACCATGGTGCCAGTCACAAACGTTTCTCACTCGGACCACTGCAGTAACCTGACTGGTTCTGTGGAACCCAGCTTGGCCCCTCCAATCCCTTTTCCACTTAAGTATTCAGAATGATCATTTTGAGACACAAATCACATCTGTTTACTTCTCTGCTTAAAAATCCTTCGCTCACTTCCAAGTGCGCCTAGAGTGAAAGTGAAGGCTTCAGCCCAATGGCCTCCTCTCCATTCCTTGAACGCACCAGGTTATTTCCCACCATGGAACCCTTGCACGCACTGGCCACTATGTGGGACACTCCTGATGACCAACAGCTTCTTGTCTCTTAGGTCTCAGCCCATATGTCACTTGTTCAAAGAAGGCTTTTGCAATTACCCTTTTATTTACTGAACGCCTCCCTCCCAAGACATTCTTACCACACCCTGTTTATTCCCTTCAGAACATTCTTACCATTTGCAACGATAAATTTGTTTGATTACTTGATTATTGTTTGGCTCCTGCACCTGACTATGAGTCCCACGTAGGCAGAGACCACACAGACCTTTGTTTTATTCACCAAAATACACCCAGTGCCTTGGCATAGCCTGGCACATGAAAAGTGTAAAATAAACTTTTGTTGAAGGGATGAACGGAATAAATGAATCAAAGTCATATGGAAGAATCATCTTGGACTCCGGCTCTGCTTCACTGGAAATGCAGGTCTCCTGCGTTTTGAGCTCTTTGAGACCTTGACAAGTTCCAGCCTCGTTCAAGTCCCTCTGCTCTGAGCCAAAAGGCCCAGGTACTTTCCAAGCTGCTGCTCCAGCCTCCAGACACTTCTGTGGCTCGTGAAGCTTCTTGGCACCAGTGTCCCACTTCTCAGGCTGTCTTCACTCACTGGTCCTTTTAAACTACTAACACGGCTTAGCTGACAACTCTCCTCCCATTTGAGGGTCAAAGAGTTGATGCTGTAATTGCATTCTTTGCTCAATGATCATAAATTCTTCTCATCTCCTGGGAGTAGATGTTGGGCACTCATCCCTCCCGTCTTCATTGTTTAGCGCTGGCAGACATCAGTGGGACATTTACTTCCATGTCACAGGATGGCATTCATTTGCTAAAGCAACCCTGAAGAGATTACGTTTCCTCTTAAATATCTGGCTTGCAATTGGGCAAGCTATGTGAGGGCAGACACCACATCTGTTTTAGTGACCACCATATCCCCAGTGTTCAGCACTTGGCTTGGGACATAGTAGATGCTCAATAAATATTTGGTGAATAAGGAAGAGACAGAGGGAAGGAGGAAGGAGGAAAAGCATGATCAGAGCAGCTAAGCTTCCTGTAAGGTGGTTGAGAAAGAAAGGGCAACTACCTCACACACATTAGGATGGATATAAAAAGCAAAAAGAAAAATAAAAGAAAAAAACAAGTTTTGGCGAGGATGTGGAGAAATTGGAACTCTTGCACATTGCTGATAGGAATGTGAAATGGTGTAGGTGCTGTGGAAGATAGTTCCTCAAAAACTTAAACATAGAGTTACCATATGATTCAGCCTCCAGGTATATACCCAAAAGCGCTGCAAGCAGGATACTGATCTTTATACACCCACGTTCACAGCAGAGAGGCTAAACAACTGGCCCAAAGTTATATGATCCAAATGTCCATCGTAAAATGGATAAACAAAATGTAGTGTGTGTGTGTACACACAATGGATTATTATACAGCTTTAAAAAGGAATTCTGATATATGCTATAATATGGAGAAACCTTTAAAATGTTATGCTAAGTGAAATAAGCCAGACACAAATGGGCAAATCTTGTATGATTCCATTTATGTGAGGCACCTGGTCAAAACTGACAGCAGAAGTGGTTCCAGGTGCTCGGGTTGGAGGTGGAGGAGGGAGGGATGGGAAGCTATTGTTGAAGGGTCCAGAGTTTCAATTTGTGAAGACGAAAAAGTTCTGGAGACAGATGGTGGTCATGATTGCACAACAGTGTGGATGTATTTAATGCCACTGAACTACATACTTTGAAATGGCTAATGGTGTAAATTTGATGTTAATATATGTTCTACTACAAAATTGAAGAGAGAGAGAAAGAGAGACAGACAGACAGATACTGGTGTCCACACTCTTCTAATCCTTCAGGGAACAGAAAAAGTTGGTACTTCCCATTGCATCTTGCATATGGTAAGGACAAAAAAAAGGTTCATCGATTAAATTCTGTTTTTTCCCCTACAGTTGAACTCCATTTTTATAATTTTTAAATTTAGGTATAATTTATTTCTTTGTCTACATCCACAAAGGATTTGAGATTACTAAATTCTTTAGGAAAATAACCAAATTTAAACACTAATCCATATAGTTAATATGATAGAATTGAAGCAAGAATTAAAAGAAAACAAACCCTAAGCACAATTGTGCATCTGTATCACTTACCTTTAAATTTGTATTAACTGCTACTTCATAAACTCTGGTTTTATGCTCAGAATAGAGGAGAAACCCTTCTTGCCAATTTATTCAAACTGGTATAAGAACACCCTTGGTTCTTTTTTTTTTTCTTCTTTCTTTCTTTCAAATCTACCCTTGGTTCTTACACTTTTGAGTCCCAGCTCCAGGCTCCCAGCAGCTTTGCCAGGTGTCACTGCTTCTATGAGGCCCTGTGCTCACTCAGGCTCAAGCCCTTTCTCACACAAGCCTCTCTCAAGAGATCACATGCTTTGGCCTTTGACCCACCCCCTCTCTCTGTCTCCCAGAAAAGGAAGAAGCTGCCATTTATCCACTGGTTGCCAAGCAAATTACAGGCACAAAGTGCACATCAGCAGCCCAAATGCCTGTGGCAGCTTTTTCCAAGGCTAAGCAATCTTTCCTCTTACTGGGGAGGTTTCTGCCTGCACAGAGATAATTAAGTTATGGGTATGTACAGATTAATTAAAGGACACAACTTCCTTAGCAACCATCAGATACACACTGGTTTCTAACTCTACTAACAAAGGTTCTTTTTTCTTTTCCTTTTTCTAAAGGGATCACATCCTCTTTCCTGCTATGGACTAAAAATTTCTAGAATATACCTTTGAAAAACATATTAAATAAGTTATAGTATATCCTTGCAAGGGAATAATGTGCAACAGCAAGAAAGAATGTGCTCTTTTTGTACTGATATGGAACAATCTCTGACAAGTGTAAAGCAGACCGTATACTGTGACACCAGCGTGTGAAAAAGGGAGAAAGAGAACATATGTCCACAAATGCTGGCAAAAGCTCAGGATAACTCCAGGACGATACACAAGCAACTGGTATCTCTGGTTGCCTCTTGGAAGGGAAAGTGCTGCTGGTCAGGGCTGGAAGGAAAACTTTCCAGCTTATATCAATTTTCACATCATGTAAAAATACTATTCATTCAGAATAAGTAAACAAACCTACCTATTTAAACAGAATATATCAAAGTCATTGTAAGAAATCATTTCTCTCCATTCAGCACACAGCTGAGAACAGTGTTCATCACAAGATGCTGGCCTGGGTGGGGTTGGGGGCAGGGATGGATTACAGGATATTTCAAAGGCCCTGTCACCTAAAACGTGGACTCAGGTCAGGGAATCCTTGAACAATGGCGCAGCAAGAAGAAGGTGGGCACAGGGTCTGGGGGAGGCAGAGGCAGGGTGGGCCTGAGGATCTTTAAGGGTCTTGCAAGCCCCAATTATGACACCACCCAAAGCCCCACTCCTGTGGTAGGCTCAGGCTCGGTCTGTCCCCAGGCATTGCCCAGTGGCACAGGGGCTTCCTGCCCCTGGGGTTTTCCTCTTTAGGGGTGTAGGGTGATGGGTGAAACAGGCAGTCAGTGATCATGAAAACTTGAGCCCCATTCTCAGCTGCTGACTCTTTTGAGATTCCCACCTTGGAGCAGGGGCCACGGAAAAAGCATCAGAACAGGGACAGAGGCGTGAGAAAAGCCTCTTCTCTTCTGTGGCCCTCAGTTCTCCTCTCTGCAAAGTGGATAGAACAAAGCTCTACTCTGAAGTGGTGTTGTGAGGCTTATGTGGCGGTGGATGTGGAGGCCGTTTACAACTACCCCGTGCTGTGCACACACATGAACAGCACTAATAACTTGCTCTGACACAGGTCCGATTGCTCAAGAATCTTGCTCACAGCTAAAGCAAATCCAGAAGCTATGAAATAAAACGCCTTCTGGAGACTGATCTTTACTAACAGAAGACAAGGTTCTGCCTACACATCCTCACTCACTGGTAGGAGGCTGTTACTGCTCCCTCCCCTGGGTATCTTGGCCCAGAGCCAGCAGTTCTCGATGACAGCAGCCTCCCTGGCCTGAGGCCCGCAGGAGTTAGCTGAGAGGAAAAAAGCCTCAGCAGATGCTTCTACCTCTGCCCAGAGTCCTACCACATGGTTGCGGTTGCGAGAACCCCTGCTCCGAAGCGGGGGCAGCAAACGACAGGAAATGGTGACTGGCTCTGAGAACATGTCACTTCCTGACTCTGAAGCAACCTCCAGAGGGTGGAAGGTCACAAGGGGCTCCTGTGGGTGGGACAGGGGTGGGGTGGGGGAATGGGGTGGACACAGAACCCCTTTTTCAGTTTCTGATCAGAGAAACTCACACCCCCTTCTCACGGGGGCCTGGGCCGCAGGTGGAGTCTGAATCGGTTCCGAGGAAAGACAAGGGCCCGGTGAGCCCTACGGCACGAAGTCAGCTAAGCGGTGCCCCGTTTACCATGGAGGAGGCCTAGAGAAGGGCATGGGCCCCATGGAAGGCTCCTCCCTGCTCTGAACCACCAGCGCTCAAAATGTCCCTTAGAGGCCACCACCTTGTCCCTCTCTCTTGGGGACAGGAAAAGACAGGAACTGACCCAAGTTCATACAACAAATAATGCCAGAGCTGAGGCTAGATCCAGCCTTTCTGCATCCCAAGCTCACCTGAACCACAAACTAGGGCGAAAGGGGAAGGGAAAATGTGGGGGAGGCCGAGGGTGGGGAGCGCCATGGGAGGGTGCAGGGTGTGGAAGAGGCTCCTCCCTGATGGCCCCAGGGAGCCACGGCAGTTTAATCAGGAGAGCACCACTGCACAGGGGTAGAAGTGTTAAGGTTGCTGGGACGAGGATGGGTGGAGGGAGCAGGGTGACCAGCTAAAGGTGCCAAGGCACCGACGTAGTAGTGGAGCTCTAAGAGGCTTTTAAAATCCAGCCTCCTATGACACAGTCCGTGAAGCGCAGAGCCCTGAGCTGCTGGAGCAGGGCTCAGTGCTGGGGCGCTCTCCGGTGGAGGGGTGCATGGAGGTGGTTGGGGAGGTGTTGGGGGAAGGAGAGCTTTGCCCTCTGGGCAAGGTCAAGCCAGAGAACTATGGAAGAGGTAGAACTGCCTGGGGCTGGCCACTGGTGAGACCCTGTCACTCACCAGTCCCCGAGGTGAAGCCAGGCTGCTGAAAGTTGTAGTTCTTGATCTCGCTGTACCATCTATCAGCCACCTCCTTTCCTGTATGGAAATGACATTGTTCTAAAACTCAGCAACAAAATCCACCCACTCTCTATTCCCTGCATCTTCTCCCGTCAACCCCAAACCACCCATCCCGCAACTGACGTCTGATAAAGCACCAATGAGCTGAAACACCTTGGGTGCTCCTTGCAACTCCTAGGGACTCCTGCCCACGAGCATGTCTAGGCTGAAGAGTGGGCCTTCTTGGGGGTTGGGAAGAGCCCTGGCCTGGGTCAGGGAACCTGCATCTGTGTCCCCCCCAACCTCCACCACTGACTCGCTGCGTAGTCCTGGGCAAGGCCTTCCCCTCTCTGGGTCTCTGTACAACAAAAAGGTCCAACGCAGCAATGTACTTCAAGGGTCTTCTAATGATGCTCGGAGTTTCCGGGAGACTCTGCCCTCACCCCACCCCATGCGTGGCTCCTGAAATGGCACAGAAGAAAAGACAATTGGGCTGGCAGGCCAAGGGGCTCCACTGCAGGCAGGAGGGCCCTCGCCTTGGAGCATCCACTGGCCCACAGGTGGTGATATGAGACAGCAGTGTCCTGGAAGCTGCTGGTCTCGGAGCCAGAGATGGGAGCCTTGGACTCCAGAGCAGTCTCAAAATTTAACATGTGCATGAATCACCTGGGGATCTTGTCAAAATGCAGATTCTGATTTCAGTAGGTCTAGGGAGGGACCTGTGGTTCTGCCTTTCTGTCCCCAGGTGCTGTTGCTGAGCCATGGTCCACACACATTAGCCTCACCTGGAGAGCATTTAGAACCCACTAGAGCCTGGGTCCTTCCTCAGACTGACTGCACCAGTATCTCTGGAGGACAGACCCAGGCACTGGCTTTTTTTTCAAAGCTCCGTAAAAGATTCCAATGTGGCCGGGTGTGGTGGCTCACGCCTGTAATCCTAGCACTCTGGGAGGCCGAGGTGGGAGGATTGTTTGAGCTCAGGAGTTCGAAACCAACCTGAGCAAGAGTGAGACCCCGTCTCTACTAAAAATAGAAAGAAATTAATCAGACAACTAAAAATATATAGAAAAAATTAGCCGGGCATGGTGGCGCATGCCTGTAGTCCCAGCTACTTGGGAGGCTGAGGCAGTAGGATTGCTTGAGCCCAGGAGTTTGAGGTTGCTATGAGCTAGGATGACACCACGGCACTCTAGCCAGGGCAACACAGTGAGACTCTGTCTCAAAAAAAAAAAAAAAAAAAAAAGATTCCAATGTGTGGTCAGAGTAGGAGCCACTGCCTTGGAGATCACCTACCCAACCCCCTCTCTGTAGAGGCCAGACAGCGGCTTGCTTAAGGCTCCTTGGGGAGCCACTGCAAGGCCGGGATGAACCCTGACTCCCGACTGCCCACTTTCCCATCCTGTGCCCTTCTCCCCAGGCCCATCAAGGGCCACCGCCTGGGCCTAGGGAGGGAGTCGCTGCCCACACCTCTTTCAGAGGGGGCACCGTGGGCCAGGCTTCAGGGAGCCCTGGCTCAGGCTGTGCTGGGGAAGCCGAGAAGACTCAGGGGGCTTCCCCTGGGAGCTCCCAGGCACGTGAGGTCAGGGAGGGAGTGAGTCATTCTCCGGCTGGGGTTTGGAGGAAGCTTCAGAGATCCAGATAGCTCTCTCCAATACTCTTCCTAAAAAGCCACTTCAGGGCCGCTGGAGCCAAGCTCAAGAATGTTTGGTCAATGTGGTGGGATCATTCCGGACTGAGATCTTGGATGGAGGAATTGTCTTTTCCATTATTTTTTTCTTTCAAAAATGGAAAAGGCTCTATTGCTTTTCTCCAGTTATAAAAGCAATACGTTAGCACTTTAAAAAAATTAGAAAAATGTAAAGAAAGTAAAATTTTTCAGTAGCTGGGGATGCTTTGGTGCCCACAGCATCAGGCTGAGACTTTGTACAGACTCAGTCTGTCTCCCCACCCCCACTGCTCAGCCCGGGAGCTCTTCTGTAAGAGGGGGCCGGTCAGTCTGACTCATCTCTGTGTCCCTGGCACCCAGCACAGGCCTGGCACTGAGCCGGCCACCAGAGACCTTGTGGTGAACTGAAGTCAGCCTGGGAGCAGATTCGGAGCTCCGGGTTTCCTTTCCCTTGCTGGACTTGTGGCCACACCACGGCTAAACTACAGAGGGTGCTGGGGCCAGGAGGGATTTGAGGAGACCCTGTCCTAGGTCCAGCTCTGGCAGAGAGGAGGGGGCTGAGAAAGCAACCCACCTGTCTGATCGTAGGATGCCCATGCGAGGTTCTCCCCACACTGGCCGCGGCTGGACTCTGGGCTGTGCTTGAGGATCCTCGTGCTGGCCAGGGCCTCAGAATACCTGCCGGGGTCCACAGGGCTTCCTCAGGGTGGGCGAAGCCCTGGGAACCCCCCAACATATGAGCCCAAGCTAGTGTGGCTGAGCTTCCTTCCCTGCCTGGGGTGCACAGAGGAGGTAGAGGAGCAGCACACCTGCATGCTTCTGAGCCTCCCTACAGTCCCATTTTACAGAGGGGCAAACTGAGGCTCAGAGGAACAAAGGGACCTAAGTGAGTGGTACAGTGGTTATTCAAGCTTGGCTGTACCTGACCCCAAAACCCACGTCCCTCCAACCACCCAGGACTACTCTAAGACTGCAGGAGCAGCACTGTGAAGGGCCCCAGTCACCCAGCGTGCTGGGGGCACTCACTGCTGAGCCTCCCGGTTGAGCTTCTTGCAGAGCTTCAGTGGGGGGACGCCATGCTGCTGTCGGTACTCATTGTGGGCCTTCAGGACCTCGTTATGAAATTGTTTGGAAGCTGGAATGATTGCAAGACAGAGAATGGCTCAGTGCAGAGAAAAGACCCACTAAAGTATAACGGTTTCAAAGCAACACCACTCAAACCCCAGTCACACGCTGGGCTGCTGCTCCCTTCCAACACCTGGCAACCCCTCCCAGTGGCCCTGCTCCACGCTGCTGCTCGTCCTGTCTCCACCCAGCACCAGGCTCTGCATCTCTGCACGTCTAACCCTCGTGGATTACGTGGGCCCTTATGGGCCATATTAGGGGTTCGGGTCTCTATTCAAGGCAACGCAAGCCCTGAATGGGAGCAGGGGAGTGAGCTGCTCAGATTTGTGTTTCTGGAGGTGCCCGGCAGGTTTGGGGGCCTGGACAGCTGGCAACAGGACTTCTGAAAGAACCCATGGTGGGCAGTGGGGACTCGAAAGGGCTAGAGTTGGGGGTCCAGAAAGAAGCGGCTGGCTGGAGTGGAGGGTGCCCACCCTGGAGTGGTGAAACCAAGGAGACAGAGGGGCAGACGACAAAGAGGGCGAGGGAAGGGCAGCACTGGGGAAGTGGAGTGACATGGTTAATTTTCAGTGTCATTTTGACTGGAATCAGGAAGACTTAGGGAACTGCTAAAGCATTATTTTAGGGTGTGTCTGTGCAGGTGTTTGCAGAGGAGATTGCCGTGGACTAGGTGGGGAAGATCTGTCCTCAACGTGGCAAGCACCATCCTATCGGACAAACTGAGGGCCCAGGCAGAAACCCGCCATGGGGCAGAGCCACCGCAGGGTTCCCACTAGGGCAATACCCGGTGGAGCCCTAGAAGTGGGGCCACCCCCAAGACTCCAGAACTGTAGAGCCACCAGTGTATAGCAACAGCCTGGGAAAGCCACAGGCTCAAGACTCCAACCTGAGCGAGCTGAAGTGTGGACTGAGCCCTGCAAAGCCGCAGGGGTGAGGCTGCCTGAGGCCTTGGGGGCCCAACCCCCATCCTAGTGTGCCCAGAAGGTGGGACAGAGTCAAAGGAGATTATTCTTTAGCCTTAAGATTTAATGTTGTTTTCCCTGTTGGGCTTTGGACTTAGTTGGGACCAGTTACCCCTTCATTCTTGCCTATTTCTCCCTTTTGGAACGGGAATGTCTATCCCATACCTATCCCACCACTGTATATTGGAAGTAGATAACTTGTTTTGATTTCACAGCCTCACAGCTGGAGGAATCAAGATGAATTGTGCCTTTAGATTCATTCATATCCAAGTTAGATAAGACTTGGGACTTTTGAGTTGGTACTGGAACAACCTAAGAGTTGGGACTTTTAGGATGGAATGAATTTATTTTGTACGTGAGAAGGACATGAGTTTTAAGGGGCCAGGGATGGAATGCTATGGTTAGAATGTCCCCTCCAAAACTCATGTTTAAATTTAATTGCCCGTGTAACAGTGTTGAGAGGTGGGACCTTCAAGAGGTGATTGGGTCATGAGGGCAGAATGTATTAATTCTGTTATTGAGGGAGTGGGTTCCTGATACAAGGAAGAGCTTGGCCTGATCTCTCTCTGTCTCGCATGCTTGCTTGCCTTTCTGCCCTTCCACCATGTGATAATCCAGCATGAAGTCCTTGCCAGACGCTGGTGTCATGCTCTTGGACTTCCCAGTCTCCAGAACCATGAGCCAAATAAAATTCTGTTCTTTATAAATTACACAATCTATGGTATCTTATTATAGCAGCAAAAAACCAGAGTAAGACACAGAGTCAAGGAAAAGTGTAAAAAAGAAAAAGTGGTGGTGACAGGAGGGTGAATGCTGTGATCAGTGGGCCCAGGGCTGAAGTTGGGGAAGAGGTGGAGCCCATGACCCAATTGGGTCATGATTTCAGAAAGAGCAGGGTCAAGAAGGCTGTGGTTAGTAAGAGAATAGGTGGGTGAAGCCAAGGGCAAGCAAAGTCAATAGTGAAGAAATATCGCACCAATTTGGATCTGAAATGGAACCCCAACATCCCCCATCCATACATCCATGCAACATCTTCCATCCATCCACCCATCCACCCATCCATCCATCCAATGTCTTCTATCCATCCACCAAAATTCATCTAATATCATCCATCCCTCAAACATCCTCCACTCACCCACTCAATTATCTTCTATCCATCCATCCATCGATCTAATATTTTCCATTAATCCATCCATCCATCTGTCCATCTCTCCAATATCTTCCATCCATCCTCCATCTACCCATCCATCCAACATGCACCCAACATTCTCCATCCATCCATCCAATATATTCCATCTATCCAACATCATCCATCCAACATTATCCATCCATCTATTCTCCATCCATCTGTTCATCTGTTCTCTGAATGCCTCCCTTATGCCAGGTCCCACATGGTGTCCTAGGGAATCCAGAAACAAATCAGCCATATCCTGCCCTCAAAGAGCTCACACACAGAAAGGAGACAGCCCTGTAAACAGATACCAGCTGTGTGATAGGTGCCAAGATGCAGGTAAGCACAAGTTCAAGAGGAACCTGGAGAAGATTGACCTAACATGGTCTGGTGGATCAGGAAGGAGGTGACCCCTGATTTGAGGCCCCAAAGATGTATGGACAGGAGCTAGCCAGGCTAAGATGGTGAAGGCACTGAGCCCCAGCCTTAGGGATCTGGGAGTTCCCCTCTGGGGAAACAGAGGTGAGTTGGGTGGGTTGTGGTGAGGGCCACAGAGGGCCCTTACACCGAGCTGGTACCACCTGGCCAGAAGCCTGTCTCACAAGGGCTGGCTGTGGGTAGTAGCAGGAAGGGTGTAAACCAGAGCATAAAGGAAGTGCCACACTCCTTCCTCTGTCCCAGGTCACATATTCACCAGTGCCTTTTTTTTTCTCTGCTGCCTTTCACCCAAGGCTAGGAGATGACCCAACAGAGAGTCCTCATTCCTTCTCCCATAGCAAGACCCCCTGGGCCTTCAAATCAAATTCCATGAGACCTCTGAGGGGACATGAGATGAGGGGAAGAAGACCCAGGGCTTGCCCTCATAAGGCTTGGGGCTAGATGCAGACCCAGGAGGTGGAGATAACTGCAGGTCACAACTACACAGGTGGAGCTGTCCAAGGGCTTTCTTATAAAGAGGAAGTGGACTCTTAAATAAAGAGTAAGCAGACTCTGGGTCTCAGCAAGGCCGTCCAGCGAGATCCAGTCACAGTACTGTGGGGTGGGGGAGGGGTGATGGGGGGGTGTCTGAATCCCAGGATTTGGGAGGTTTGGGTTGACAGGCAGAGATGGGGATACAAAATGATGACAAAGGCATGGAGGTGAAAAGTGGTAATGGTGACTAGGCGTAAGGCAGAGGGTGGAGCTAAACCTGAAGTATCAGGTCTTTGTGGGCAAGAGGCAGAACAAGCCCTAGCTGATAGGAAGGACAAAGATTTCAGGTCTCCTGGGAGGAGGAGAAAAGGGAGAGGTGTTGTTTAATCATGGATATAGAGTTTCAGTTTTAGGAGACGAGAAAGGTCTGGAGCTGTTTCACAACAATGTGAATATACATCACACTACTGTACAGCACACTTAAAAATGGATTAAGATGGTAGATTTCATGTCATGTGTTTTTTATTGCAATAAAAAAAGATTTCAGGTTTAGCATTTTAATGTGGCATTTGGGATAAGGAGTCACAGAGGCTTTTAAGGACTATCTCACAGGGAGATGGCAGGAGCCACAGCAACTCACGGGAGCCCGCTGGGGGTTGAGGACAGGTTAAGAAGGAGTCAGCAGGGTGGTGTGGCTGCCAGAAACCCACAGGCCCCTGGGCCATGGGCTGCTTCCCCAGCCTGGCCCCTGCTCTGTGCGAGAGGCGTGTTCAGAGGCTGGAAATGGGGTCTTATGGTTCAAGGGCTGGGTAAGCTCACCCTACAGAAGATTACACTCTGCAAGACACAGTGGAGGCCTCTGATGCATTCTGGGGCCCCAGAGGGAAAAGCTGGGGCCAATGGGTGGAAAGGGCAGGAAGACAAATTAACTCAGCCTGAGAAAGACCTTCCTCCCGATCAAAGCTTTCTGAAGACTGAAAGGGGCCACCTCGCACGGTAGTGAGCACTCTACCACTTGGGGAATACAAGCAGGCAAGCCCTCCTCAGGGGGATTCAGGCCCTGGGTCAGATGAGATCCTGTAAGGATCAGGGTGGGGGTGAGAGGAGACAAGATGAACCAACCCAAGACTTGCAGGAGTTTCCTGAGCTTCTCTAAGGAGACAGTGACTGAAACGAGGGTATGTGAACAGGCCAGGGCACGGATGGGTACACACAATCAAGGTAAAGGAGGGTCCCCACCTGAGTGGCAGGCTTGGCCAGGCCCATCCTAAAGTCCCTTCCAGTTCCCATGTCCCAGGGGGCCGTGGTGGGTCTCGTGGGACATCACGGGAGATGCATGAGACTGAGCGGCATGTGCAATGGTGGGCACGGATGCACGAGGGGAGGGAGGACTCCCCGCAGGAGGTGTTTCTACATCAGGAAGCATGAGGTGAGGAGGCACAGGGCACAGAATGGGCCAGGGTGGAAGGAACTAAGGATATCCGGGGCCCCTGAGGAGGACGGGGAGGAGGGCAGTGAGTGAATAGCTAGGGGAAAGCGAGTTCAAAGGCAGCCCGAGTGTTGGGATCAGTTTGCCCTGAACCCCATGGTGCTGCAGGCCCCAAGTCTCCTCGGCAGAGAGGGACAAATAAGGCTGCTAAAAACTAGGTCACGGCACTCCCAGAATGTGAGAAGTAAAGAGAAACAAAAGTGAAAGTTCCTGTGCCCAGAAGCTGAAGCCAGGCAATGTCCTCAGCAGGACCAGGGTCCTGGGCCAGGGTTCTCTGGAAGGGACAGCAGGTCTTTCTGGCAATCAGGAGTGGAGCCCGCTCTCCCCTCCAACCACACCTCCGGCAGTGCTGGGAGTCCCTCCCCCTGCGGCCTCGGCCCAAGTGGCTCCCCTGCTCAGGGCCTCAGCCCCAGGGAGGCAAGTTATCAAGGTGACCACACCCAGCAAGAGGCACACCCCACTTCTATAGAAAGACC